TTTTACACTTATTTAGTTACACCCTGTATAATCAGAGAATGAGTCACATCCGCGGTTAATGTTCGTGCTGCCCAAGATATAACGGTGTAAATTGGTGTAACATCCCATTACCAGTTGAAATTTGTTCGTTTTTCTATAGTGGATTGATCGGCGCAGAACGAGAGGAGGTTCCTAGAGTATCCAAGTCTCCCAGAAAGTAAGCAGAGCAGGCGATAATGTTCATCGAAACCTTCTTGCAGAAACCTTTGATCAAAAATAATTACTATTTTTCCTGATAACTAGGCATGCTGCGGGTTTCAACTCAGGACACGCTACTAACTCACCGGAAATATTGCAGCCTTGGCATGTTGCAAGTTTGCCTTTGAACATTCGAATTTAACGAAGTGACACTGACACAACTTTGTATTCTGCGATCTGTGGAGAAATCATATGGTTTTCCAGCCTTAGGATGGCTCTGTGTCGGTGATTTAAATCTTTCATATTTGGGTGGATGCTTGGTTACACTCGCCCCATAGGGGAATTCCTATTCGATCCTATTTTATCAGCTCTATCGGGTTCCCCAGAGTGATTTAGTTGAGCATCTGCCTGCTGGGAAGGTGCCCGGGTTTTAGACGGAATAAAATCTAACTAAAAATGTGGTCTAAAACCCATCCTCTCCAGTATGGCCATGGATCCATCATTGACAGTGAAAATCCATGCAGGGTACTATAACTACACATTTACGAGCCAGGATACGCTTTCCTGATCCTTACAGGTAACCTGTAGCTATCCAAGCCAAAGTTTGCAGCTCTGGAATAATGTCTATGGCTGCCAAGATAACTTTTTAAAGAGATTCCAGTTAATTGGCTGATAATGTAGTCAGATAACAACTTGTTCGATTGATGACCTATTTATTTCGTAGAAATTCATATTGAATATAGGATAAGGAAAATAACTTTTGTTTGATTTCTACTGAGGTGCAAGATTCCCACATTGATATTAGCAGCAACCATCCCATATGAGGGTTATTGCACGTCAGCCATGCAGAACTTTTCGTCACTGTTTTCGGTAAATCATCATTTGAGCGTAAACATTTGCAGACCTACTCAAAGGGAGTTTGTTACCTCTGCTGAATTATTATACTGGTGCTGCTCAAAAGTTTGCTGCAAGACGGTTTCATAGAGAATCCCGATCGTAAGAAGGTGTCTGAGACGCTTCGTGGCTGCACCACAAAATATTTGCTTAGGTTTAGTTACTAGATTTAAAGTTGAAGAGCTGGGAAGCTCTCGTTTTTTACCCTATGTTACAAAAAGGCCAGCTGGAGTCGTGAGATCGACATCCATCTTCATTGTAGACTTACAGTCGGACTTTAAATTCGGGTTTACTAGTGAAACCATCAGGGTATCCACAAGTAGTTATTCAAATGAGGTTCATCTCGGCAAAGCCATACATTGTTGTATATTGCAACGACGAAGGTTCTGTCGCAGAATATTGGGACTGTGGTTTGTTAGAAACGATTGATGGGCTCAGTAACAAACATTCCGTCGACACGGATACGCAAATCTCATGATTAAGTCATCGTTGAAATTTCTTTCGGTTAGGGCACCACGAGTGATCCTGTCATTACCATAACCAAGGTTAGATGTATGTGTTTTTCTGGCAAGAACTTATTCAATTGAAGGTGGATTGATTCCTTAACGTTTTATGGATGACGTTACTGCAAATAGTTCTCATGATGTCTAGCTAGATTTCTACTCAGAACACGAGATTATTATAGTCGATACCGTCGACAGAAAAAATTGGCGTTTTTTCGTGAACTCATGCTAATCACGAGATAGTGTGAACACACTTGAAGAAGCTATTGTATAACGCGTGGTCTAATTTTTGTGAACTGTTAAGTGAAAATTTCACAGTAATGTGTATGATTGTCAGACTAATGATCATGTACAGAACAATTGCGAGGTGTTCGAGTATTACAGCAAACAGCTCTCTGGTGTATAAAGATAAGCATGCCTGACTATCACTGGTATCATACTGTCAGCAGCCATGGAAATCCTTCTAGACCTACCTCGTCTCCATATTTTGCCAGAGAGAGAAGGTAGATGGACTGCATACAGAATTGTGTAAATGGCAATTGCACAACTCAGGCGTATATGGAACGGAGCATAGCAGGCTACCGGTTGTCACTGAAAGTCTAACCGCCATTCTGGAAATGACCACGACTTAATGTCGTCAAATGTCAGCAACGAACTGCTTTATATAGTCCTGTTCCCGAGCAGATATGATTATAGATTCTCCGGCAGGAAAGAATATTAAGAGCAGCAATAGCAGTTGGTTCACAGCTGGATCAAATATACCTTCAGGACCACGACTTAATGTCCTCAATTGATGATTGATGTAGCTTGGCATAAATATAGCTAATTGAGAATTCACACTAAAACTTTACAACTCCATTGTTTCTAAATAAGACTTCTGTTATAATTTATGTTTTTGGTTACTAATTTTGATGTTTCTGGCGCTCGGAGCGTGTACCCCCCTAACACATTTCCCATAAAACAAAAATACTGTCTCAAGGAGCATGTTTTGCCAAACAAGTTAGCATCTTCAGATGTCTCAGGCTAGATTCATTACTATGTTTATGGCAGAGGTATGCGTGTATCTATATCCTACAGGCAAGTTTGTGTAAGTTTGTTTCAGTTATACATTTCCCTGCGTATAAAATTGACAAATGGCCGACAAAACAGTTTAAAGGTATGTTTGAAGGTGATTGACAATGTTTCATGATGAGTTTCACTAGTTCGGACTTCCATTGTCTTATATATAAAATGATTTGAAATCCCCGAAACAACTAAAAAAAAAAGAAGAATTAAAAATGAATAGCTGAAAATAACAATTATATTAAGCAAAAATAACCTGAAATGAAATAATAGTGAAATAAAATACAAGTACAAATAGAACAATT